CAGCTAGTACTCCTGGATGTGCTTCTTGTCTGGACAACCTCGTAGGGCTAATACTTTTGGGAAATATCTTCCAACTATATCTCAAATTAAAAGTCTTCTACCAACATCAATTATTACAATGTACTTCATTAAGATACAAAACCCCTTGATGAGTAGCAGACAATGAAAAAAATATTTGGTATTTTTAGCTTCCTATCTTCAACTTTTGGTAACTTCCCGATTAATGTTATCTACGCATGAACATTATATTAGAATTGAGTTGAAGTTAGGAGAAATGAATAAAGTTGCAGTTTGATTATTTTAAGGGATCACCTACTTGTCTGGAAAGTAATGGTGAAATCTTTGATAGTTATTATTTATATTACTCATTAGGCATACTTGTTCGGAATCATATTTCTGAAGAATAAGTGAGTCTTAATTAAACAAATGTAAGAACAGGGTATTACGTTAAGACTTTGTCATGAAATCCTTGTTTTATCAGAGTATTGAAAATGGTTAAGGTATGCTTATTCAACTTTTGAAGTCAAAAGGTTTACACATTCTTAAGTATCTAATAAAACTGTATTCAAATTAATAATTTCAAATAATGGGGTCTGATTTTCTCTTAAAAATAACTATCATTTATTATATTTAAAAACATTTTTTGTCACTAATCATGTGAAAAAGTATGAACAAGTCTTACCTCCTGAAATGGATTTTTGTTTCTTGGAACTGAGCTGTGGTTTAAAACCAAATCAAATAAAGCATTTATAAACAACAACAACCCAAATCACATCAAGCATACAATGTCCATGAGCCCTAAGACTCCTCCCTTGGTGCCCTACTAGGCTACCTGCCCAACTTTAAAAAAAAAAATTGTAATAACATAATTAAATAAGTTAGTAGGAAGCTTACTGCAAAGTAAACTACCAGCATTCAGCATCATACAAACATCACACTGGAATGTCAGAGAAAATCCTAGGGGTTAGTTTGTCTTTTGCTAAATGGGAATTTGCTGATTGAGCATGCCTTAACATGCACACAGCATTCCAAATGTGCTTCCCACCCAAGTAGGTTATTTACCCAGTTTTACTGGGTACATTTTGTATCATTTGTACACATTCATCTTCTTTCTGTTCCCTCCCTTATGTCCCTTTCTAAATATATACTAAGTTTAAATTAACTGCTCTTGGTCAAGTTCTCAAAGATTAAAACTAAGTAATTCTTTAAATTACTTTTTTTGGGGGGTGCCTTTGAGTCAGTCTTCTCCTGGTCACTGCTAACAAGTCCATGCAGTTCTCTTGGCAGCATTTTTGGATGTGGTTTGCCCTTGCCTCCATACTAGGGCTGAGACAGAAGGACTAGCCCAAGATCACCCACCTGGCTTTGTGCATACGGCAGGATTAGAACTCACAGCCTTCTGGTTTCTAGCCTGGTGCCTTTACCACTACACCAAACTGGCCCTCAAATTACTTGAGATAAAATACTTTTCATATTAGAACACCATAAAGTGGTTGAACAAATGCACTGCTTTACCTATTTTATATTCTGATGCCCTGGAATCAACATGTGAAAACTGCATAAGCTAATTAGTAGGACCCAGAATTACCATAGTGCATTCAGTAGCCAATTGTTTTGGATACTTAGCAAACTGTTCAACAAGGGCAGCAACTAAAAGAACAAATAAGTAAAGTAGGTAAAATATGCCTAAAGACTTGATATTCAAATATTTAATCTAAACTGTGAAATGGAACATCACATCTTTAAGTTATTGCATATTTTTAAACAGTGTCAACATCCAAAAGTGCTGCTAAGAAAACTGCACGGACTTATCATTTTTCAAACTGCAAGTAACTTAATAGCAAACTTACCTGTCACTACCTCGCAACATTTTAGGGTCAAAATACCTATAGTCATCTGTCTCCTATTAAAAGAGAAAATTGGTTGGAACACATTTTCATTATTTAATTTATTTCCCAAAATATTTACATTTCATTGAAATATTTTGGAAATATTTATTCAGTCAAAGAACCAAAATACCTATTCTAGCTGCCACTGAAGGTGAGACATGACATTCCTAATTGCTAAAACTTTCAAAATATACTATTCATATATTTATTTGAATATAAAAAAATGGTCCTAGTTTTCAAGCTTTACATTATTGCACTTCCCCCAAAATATATTTTGTAGTCATAATCTATTCCATTTTGAAGAACATATTCATAACTAAGGCTCAAATGATACAGCAATCAAAATCTTTCTTACTTCATTCTATGTTTAAAACAAAATGAAGCTTGTTTATAAGATGTGACATACTAGGACACTTTTAAAATTTAACATTGTTATGTGGAAAATATTTCCCTTCTTTTTTTTAAGAAGAATCAATTCAATATTATCATTGACAAATACAATCAGTTTTTCTGCTTCTATGCTTAGCATATTGTAAAGCACGATAACAAAGAAATAGATCCATTTTGTCTGTGGCCTTTTAAGAATAAAAAATTAATTTTACTGGATTCCATATTTTAAAAAAATAATTTATCATGTGCATAACAAGGTAAACAATCTTTCAGGGATTCATCTTTGATTTCAAATCCTCTATCTATAGTGCACTCTAATGCGTGTGGGCATTACTAAATATTATAAACCATCTGGTATCTAAATAATTCAACCATCTTGGGTGGATATTGGTATCTTTAAAGTCTGAACACATCAACCAAGAAAGGAACTGAAATTATTTTGGAGAGCAATGGATTGCTGAAGATTACCAATTATTTATCATTTTGCATCTGTTACTCTGTGAGAGTCTGAAGTGGTTCATGTAGGAACTTCCATAATTTTCTTTCTATTGTATTACATGGATAGTATTTGAAAGAGCACCATAATTTTGTGGAATATTTCAATTCAATCTATTGTATTTGTTCATTACTTATACTTACAGGATTTGACTTCATCTCCATAAGGTTATCTAAAATGCGGGTAACTGGAAGATTCTATAGAAAAGATACCTCAATTTAACTGAATTGCAAAAGCTGTAGTTTAGAACAGAAATACATGCTCAGATCATTGTTCAGCTCTATTATCATTACATAATTGTTTTTGAATCATTACATGTGGTTTGAATGCAATTTCTTCTTGCTTGTTCCCAGAGAGGGGGAAAAAAAGCATTTGACCACTTCAGACATTGTGATGGAACACTCCTATGCATTTTTTAAAAAGGAAATTACTTTTTAAAATTATACCTAGTGGATCATATTGAAATTAAGAAATGTATAAAGTTATGCAACATTTTGCATTATTAATGAAGCAGAAGAATGAGAGATATAGGACAAATAAAAGGAAGTGCATAGTTCAAGTATGCTATTCACTACTAAAATCTGTAATAACCACAAATTTCTAATCTTTCTTTATGGATACAGACAGCTGTGTGCTTCAACAAATGCAGCTTCAGGTAGTCCAAGCTTTATGATTGCTGCTTTAGCCTCTCGTGCGGTCACTGGTGCTCAGGAAGCCAAAGCACATCCTGTAATCCGTAGAAACTATTTGCTGTTGCATAGATAAAATATGTATAATCATTAAATGATATGAGGCTTCTAATTCAAAGATAGGATAACACTCCTTTGCTTCTCTTTCTCCCCATATCTTCTTGTGAGATATGAACATGCATTAGCTTTAATGAAGAAAATTTCTGGAATGATGAGAAACCTGCCCTGTTACTCTGCTTTGATATTCTGCATGCTTTCAGAGCAGCAGCAAAATGAAAAAATGGAAATCATGAATTATATAAATTTGGATAACATTTCTTGATGGAAAAATTATTCCTCTTTTTATTTTCTTATTAACATAATTACAACCTGGCTATTTTAATCAAATCTCCCAGGCATTTTGTGATAATACAAAAACATATTTTAAGAAACTCTTTTACATATTAGTGGCAATATCAGCTAGAGAAGCAGAAATATGAACAAAGAGAAGATCAGGGCAATCCAAAAGCTGAGCTGCCTGCTTACAAATGAATGAAGAAGTAGCAAACCAAACTTCTCTAGAAAAAATATTTGGAGTTTCTAAAAACATGCAATGAATCTATCATACATTAACATCCAAATTACTTCAGAAAGCCAGGGAAAGCCACACAAAGCACAGAAGTGAGATGGAACCTTTTGGCACAGTAGTAATTCAGTTTAGCTCCATTCTAATCAAGTCAACTCTATTCACTTTGTTTAGCATGCTAGGAATCACAGACCAACTGGGTCATATGCAACTTATGAAATGCTGAAGTGTTTATTCCTCACTCTGAGAAGTCTGCAGTCTTGGGTATGTATAAGTTTATTCAAAAATAATGAATATGCTTAATGTAAAAACATACCTGCTGCTTTAGTACCAAATTTTTGACTCCTTCCATCACAAACTGGGATCCAGTATTCATAACACGTGAGAAAAGGCTGGAACAAAATGCACATCATAAAGATTCTGTTTGTGGCCACATATCTATGTAACAAATCTTTAGCACTGAATCTGCATGTCAAAATATAATCTATATATACAGTCAGGTCCAGAAATATTGGGACATCGACACAATTCTAATATCTTTGGCTCTATACACCACCACAATGGATTTGGAATGAAACAAACACAATGTGCCTTAACTGCAGACTGTCAGCTTTAATTTGAGGGTATGTACATGATGTTGTTCCAGAACTGTGAAGGCTTTTTTAGATGTTATTTGGCAAACTGATGTTGTTCCAGAACTGTGAAGGCTTTTTTAGATGTTATTTGGCAAACTGATGTTGTTCCAGAACTGTGAAGGCTTTTTTAGATGTTATTTGGCAAACTGATGTTGTTCCAGAACTGTGAAGGCTTTTTTAGATGTTATTTGGCAAACTGATGTTGTTCCAGAACTGTGAAGGCTTTTTTAGATGTTATTTGGCAAACTGATGTTGTTCCAGAACTGTGAAGGCTTTTTTAGATGTTATTTGGCAAACTGATGTTGTTCCAGAACTGTGAAGGCTTTTTTAGATGTTATTTGGCAAACTGATGTTGTTCCAGAACTGTGAAGGCTTTTTTAGATGTTATTTGGCAAACTGATGTTGTTCCAGAACTGTGAAGGCTTTTTTAGATGTTATTTGGCAAACTGAAGAGTATGGAGAAGGAAAGGAACTGCTCATGATCCTAAGCATACCACAAGATGTAAACCATTGGTGAGCCTCAAAAACAGGAAGGCCAGATTAGAGTTTGCCAAATAACATCTAAAAAAGCCTTCACAGTTCTGGAACAACATCCTATGGACTGATGAGACCAAGATCAAGTTGTACCAGAGTGATGGGAAGAGAAGAGTATGGAGAAGGAAAGGAACTGCTCATGATCCTA